GAATTTTCCAAATCGGACCATTAGTTCGGGAGATAACAGGGGGGGGGGGGTAAAATTTATCCACCCCCAGCCCCGCGCGTTCGGCTGGAGACCCCAGCCCCGCGCGGGTGGGGGTCGATGCGACCCCCCCTAAGGTTTTTCAAAGATAGCGTAAAAACGGCGGCGCGCAGCGCCGCCAAATTTGGCACAGCCTATGGGGCAACCTTTTTACATATGACCTGCAAATTTCAGGTCCAGGTGACCTTGGGTCAGGTCACCAGGTCAGAAAAACCGGTACAAGGTCATGGTCAAATTTCAATTTCCTTTTTGCACCTGTCCAACTCACAGTTTTGGACTGATTTCCTTCAAACTTTCAGGATGTGCTAAGTTCACCGAGTTGTACCTATAGGTAACATATAGTTCGGAATTTTTGAGGTCACTGACCTGAGGTCAGTTAGAGGTCATTACGTCGTAATGTTAAAGGGACTATCCCACCTTCTAAAATGTTGTTAAAACCAATTAAATTGTGCCCGACTTTATAGATTGGATGACCAGGAACACGGTTCTGGCATTTATTTTTCATAAAACATCTTAGGCTTCCCATATTCCAAACACAAACTTTCAAATATGTGACGTCACAGCCCAAAATTACCTCCTTCCCCAGGCCACATTACTGTCATAGGTAAAGCTGATTCTTTTTACTCTGTAGGCACCACAACAAAGTTCAGACCAAGTTTTAAGCGATTTTTCAACGAACAAACCCATTTAAATCAGAATGACTAAACGAGGTGACGTCACACTAACGGTCGCTCCATGTTAAAGATAGGGTCTTGCACAAGGCCCATTTTCAAATGAAGGGAACGAATTTCTTCAACACCAAGAGGCCACGGGGGTTGCAACCTAGATAGATAGTGGTTTCTGAACCTCGCCGCAAACTTGGCTATCTCAACTCAAACCCCATGTTAAAGGTGGGATTTAAGCCTATGAGAAAATACTAAATTCGGAAAATACTGGAGATATCCGCTTCGTTCTATCACTTTTGTGCCTCGAAACCACAGTACTTAACAGCAGGTCACTTGGTGCTTCTTTGTTTGGTGTACTTATCCATGGGCCAGGTCAAATGAGGTCAACTGAGGTCAAATGATATTTTTGCCAATAACTTGGCACATAATGACGTTAGAGCTTAAAAAATGGTATCATTGTGTTCCTGGTGATCAGCCGAATCGAATGATATGCGATATGATGCAATTTGGTTAACTTGAACTTAATTTATTAATTTAAGTTTACTTAAAATTTAAGAAAAACTTTAGGTACACTTAAGCAAGCTAAAAAGTATATCTTTCGACGCGCCTTGACGTGCAGAGTTCACTGGTGCTTTTCTTTTTGCTCTATCTTAATTAGATCAAAAGTTATAAGCGAAAAACTGTTGACTTGTTTTAGCGAAATTTTTACATTTATACCCCCCAAAACCCCCCTAAATATTGACCTAGAGCAACCAAAATTGCACAGGAGCGAGAACTCCAGGGGACCCATCTACCTACCAAATTTGGTGTTTCTAGGTGCCATAGGAGCCAATCGCGAGGGGGGGTCGCATCGACCCCCCTGCCAGGCCGTGTTATGAAAAATGCCCTGCCAGGGCGAGGGTTAGGAATATATACCGGCTCTGAGTCGCATTTGAGGAAAAAAACAGCCTAGCGTAAAAATATATATGTTTTGAAAATTAAGCTGGTACCGAAATAATTATTTTACCATGCATTGACAAACCAATTGCTCAAGCTTCAAACCAACCGAAATATAGCCCCGTGGGCCGTATTTTTTTTGGGGGGGCCTTCGGCATGGGGGGCCCAGTTCGAAGGTCGTACCCCCCCCCATTCAAAAATCCTGTGTGCGCGCCTGTTTGTCAGAAAGGTTTTAAACTTGGTGGATTGCATGATGTTATGGGCACCTACAATTTGTATATCTCGGATTTTTTTATATCCGTGACCTAATGTCAGGTCAGTGGCGTGACCTTTCCATTACAAGTCAAGGGAGAAAATGAAAATGCCTCTAGATCCGTGTGTACGCATAGGAATAGCCCAAATATTTCAGAATCACAATGATTTGGAGTTATAGAATGGAGTTATAGAATGGCTGCAATAGGCGAAAACGTAAAGTTGACCTTTTGAGGTCACCGAGGTCACCTGAGGTCACCATATTCGAAACGGCTGATGAAATCGCATACGCTGAATCGACTGGTGGTGTTTTCGTCACGATCGGCCCAGTAGATCCTGAGTTATAGAATGGCTGCCATAGGCCACAACGGTCATGTGACCTCCCAAGGTCACCGAGGTCACCTGAGGTTACCATATTCAAAACGGCTGATGAAATCGTATACGCTGATTCGACTGGTGGTGTTTTCGTCGCGATCAGCCCAGTAGTTCCTGAGTTATAGAATGGCTGCCATAGGCCACAACGGTCATGTGACCTCCCAAGGTCATCGAGGTCACCTGAGATCACCATATTCGAAACGGCTGATGAAATCGTATACGCTGATTCGACTGGTGGTGTTTTCGTCACGATCGGCCCAGTAGTTCCTGAGTTATAGAATGGCTGCAATAGGCGAAAACGTAAAGTTGACCTTTTGAGGTCACCGAGGTCACCTGGGGTCATCTTATTCGAACCGGCAAATGAAATCGCATACGCTGAATCGACTGGTGGTGTTTTCGTTACGATCGGCCCAGTAGTTTCTGAGTTATAGAATGGCTGCCATATGGCAGCCATCATAGGCCACAACGGTCATGTGACCTCCCAAGGTCACCGAGGTCACCTGAGGTCACCATATTCGAAACGGCTGATGAAATCGCATACGCTGAATCGACTGGTGGTGTTTTTTTTTTTTTTTTGTCGCGATCGGCCCAGTAGTTCCTGAGTTAGAGAATGGCTGCCATAGGCCACAACGGTCATGTGACCTCCCAAGGTCACCGAGGTCACCTGAGGCTAAGATCACCATATTCGAAACGACTGATGAAATCGCATACGCTGAATCGACTGGTGGTGTTTTCGTCACGATCGGCCCAGTACCTAGTTCCTGAGTTGTAGAATGGCTGCCATAGGCCACAACAGTCATGTGACCTCCCAAGCAGGGCTGCGGAGTCGGAGTCGGAGTCGGAGTCGGAGTCGGTCGGAGTCGACAGTTGTGACCGAAGTCGGAGTCGGAGTCGGAGTCTTTTTTAGAAACCCGAGCCGGAGTCGGAGTCGGAGTCACCGAAAATCTGTCGACTCCGCAGCCCTGCTAGGTCTGCGGAGTCGGAATCGGGAGTTGGAGTCGGTCGGAGTCGACAATTCTGCCCGGAGTCGGAGTCGGAGTCGGAGCTGGTTTTTGAAAGCCGAAGTCGGAGTCGGAGTCGGAGTCGCCGAAAATCCATCGACTCCGCAGCCCTGCTCCCAAGGTCATCGAGGTCACCTGAGGTCACCATATTCGAAACGGCTGATGAAATCGTATACGCTGATTCGACTGGTGGTGTTTTCGTCACGATCGGCCCAGTAGTTCCTGAGTTATAGAATGGCTGCAATAGGCGAAAACGTAAAGCTGACCTTTTGAGGTCACCTGAGGTCACCATATTCGAAACGGCTGATGAAATCGCATACGCTGAATCGACTGGTGGTGTTTTTTTTTGTTTTGTTTTTTTTTTTTGTCGCGATCGGCCCAGTAGTTCCTGAGATATAGAATGACTGCCATAGGCCACAACGGTCATGTGACCTCCCAAGGTCACCGAGGTCACCTGAGGTCACCATATTCGAAACGGCTGATGAAATCGCATACGCTGAATCGACTGGTGGTGTTTTCGTCACGATCGGCCCAGTAGTTCCTGAATTATAGAATGGCTGCAATAGGCGAAAACGTAAAGTTGACCTTTTGAGGTCACCGAGGTCATCATATCCGTAACGGCTATTGAAATCGCATACGCTGAATCGACTGGTGGTGTTTTCGTCACGATCGGCCCAGTAGTTCCTGAGTTATAGAATGGCTGCAATAGGCGAAAACTTAAAGTTGACCTTTTGAGGTCACCGAGGTCCCCTGAGGTCACCATATTCGAATCGGCTGATGAAATTGCATACGCTGATTCGACTGGTGGTGTTTTCGTCGCGATCGGCCCAGTAGTTCCTGAGTTATTGAATGGCTGCAATAGGCGTCAATGCCGAGTTGACCTCTTGAGGTCACCAAGGTCACCTAGGGTCACGAGCTTCGAAACGGCTGATAAAATCGTACCCCTTGATTCGAATGCTGTTTCGTTCGCTCCGATCAGCCTAGTAGTTCCTGAGTTATAGAATGGCTGCAAGGGGCTGCAAGGGTGGCGGTCGAATAGTGTTGTCCCCAAGGCCCTATATACCTGTCCCTGAGAAAGTAGATCGACCGTGATGGGGGCGGCGTTCGATGTCTCCCGGACGGCAAAGATTCTTTGCCGTCCGGCCAATCAGGTCCAAGGTCAGCGGGGGCTCGGCTGCGGTTATGAAACGTGATTGGCCGGACGGCGTAGAATCTTCGCCTTCTGAGAGACATCGAACGCGGGGGGGGGCCCACGGTCATAGAATACTAAGGTAACACGGAGCCGAAGCTTCAAGCCAGGGGACACGGGAGGCATGCCGTCAGCTGTCCTTTTATAAATAATCGGTTTCTTTGACTTAATTTCTAATGTTTTTCTGATGTTTTGCATCAATGAGGTACATCAAAAATTAAGTTTTATTTTTTTTTAGGTCGAAAATATTTTGTTGTCCAAACTATCCCCGTTTAAAGAAAATAGACAAGGGGAGAGTTTACCCAGGACCCTATGGAGAGAGTCAACCCAGGGCCCTATGGGAGAGAGTTAACACGTGCTTCTATGGGGCGAATTCGATGCAACAATGGCGCAGTAGCGACATTACTCTTGTTCGATGTTTTTCGGACGACAAAGATTCTACGCCATTCGGCCAATCACATTCCATAATTGCAGCCGAGCCCCCGTTGATCTAGAACGGGATTGGCCGGCCGACGTACAATCTTCGTCGTCTGAGAGACATCGAACGAGGGGTACATCGACTGAACATACATTGCGATTCAATATTCAGTATTTTATGACCGTGATTGCAATCCAAATTTGCATTTGAGCTCAGCAGTCGAGTGTGGTGCCAAAAATACCAGAAGCGATGTCCTATATACGGCCTTGACCAGAAGTGTTGCATGCCCTGGATGCAGAAAAACAAGATTGAGATGAGTGGATCAAGATGTATCTTTCGTGCAGATGTATCAAGATCCTTTCACTTAAGATCCATGCAGGTGAGGTTCCAGTGAAATTTGAATTCGATAGGTAGCTATTTTTGATTTTGCTTTGATACTTGTGGCAAGGAAACATGATTATGGTTGCATGAACCGCCCACTGCTCATTGCTGTCTTGTCTCACGTTCGATATCCGATCACCATTCTTAAATAGCTCACCCCATATGGAAATCAGGTTTCAGGAGGCCACTAGGCTTGTGGGGCCTGCCGGGGTATGTCTTCCTACATGCCGGGGTATGTCTTAAGCACAGCACGAGCCGGGCAGTAAAACTATGACCAAGAAACTGCCGGTGTCAAAATGCCATGTTATTTGATAGGCCGGGCAGGAAACAAAAGTTTACTGCCTGGGTTTACTGCCCAGGGCAATGACCTCTAAACTATAGAGCCTATCGCATCAGCCCAGAGGTATTGACCCAGGGAATGTATAATTGACATCATAATTGCATGATATTTGCATCGTAAAATTAGAAAACTAACATTTTCTGGGAACAAAAATATCTGCTCTGTTTATCAGGGCTTTGAAATATTTTGTATTAATTACAAAGCCAAAACTATGACCGAAATCCATTATCGCTTGTTGTCTTATCTTCGTTTTATATGTCTACCGATTCCTTCGGCCAAAGTTTATACCTATATTTATTGGCTATTGCGTTATTATTTGATATAGTCGTAGTCCTTTCCATGAAACAAGCATGTGAAATATTGAAAATATAATGTATTTCACGAAAGTTTTGCCATAGGGCATCAACAAAGCAGGATTACATAAAGAAAGTAAACATTCTTGCAAAAGGACAGGAAAATTCACGTTTAATCATTAGGAATAGTATATCTTCTTCCTGTTCTTATGTCGTGCCAAATCGTTTATGTATTATGTTCCTTCTTGGATATCCAATTGTGCCATTCTGAGGTAATATTTTCAGAGACGATTCCGTTTGAAGTAAGGTATTTTGACGCATTTTCTTCTACGAATTTCCTTCAAAGCCTTATCCACAGCAGAAGCGCAATCACTGTTAGGAAATTATGGACAAAACAATTGTATAAGTGTCACCAAAACCTGTCAAAACGTTTTAATAGGTATGCGGCATGTAGGAAAAATCTTACTGACCTAAGCCGTACGAAATTATTTGGAAACTCGGCTTGCAAAACTTGACTCCGGCCCTCGTGCTCCGCACTCGGGCCTCCGTCAATTTTGCAAACCTCGTTTCCAAATAATTTCGTCGGCCCGGTCAGTAATATATATTATGGTTGCATGAACCGCCCACTGCTCATTGCTGTCTTGTCTCACGTTCGATATCCGATCACCATTCTTAAATAGCTCACCCCATATGGAAATCAGGTTTCAGGAGGCCACTAGGCTTGTGGGGCCTGGTCTCAATGAGCTCCCAGTGCCAAGGACAGTCAGGCTCATATGCTGGGTAAGGTCAGGTTCAGGTAGGCCAGTATGCACTCTGCAAAGCATGGCAATTTCGACAAGATCTCGTCTGTGCTGGCTTGTCCGGCTGGTGAGGCTTTGGTGTGGCGTGGATTTAGCTTGGTGCAGTGCGGATTTTGTGTAGCGCGGTGCAGATTTGGTCTGGTGTGGTCAGGTGGTGGGGGATGTAGTGAAGTGCATTTTAAATGTGGCTGATGCCTGATAGGTGTGCGGTGGTCAGAACGGACTGTGCCAGTGCTGGTGCCTGGTGGTCCCACCAATCACGGGGGTCATCTCCTGTTGTGACCCAGGGCCCAGGGGGTCTAGTCAAAACCTTACCTATTTCTGCTAACCTAAACCTATTTCTTACAAATTAGGCATAAATGTGATTATGGTATAATGATAATTAAACCTGGCCCTTTTTCAGGCGCAAGCTTTGGATGAACTTCTGCTTCTGCGGTCGGCATTCTTACAGGAGAACCCAAGATTCATTGTACCTACCTGTATGCATTTCAAAACTGAATAATTGATAGCAACAAGTAAATATTTGAAGTTGCAGCCAAATGCTGTGCCTTCTCTGCTGCAAGAGCTACATGTCACCATTGAAGCAAGGTAAGTGTTAAAAGAAATTGTTCACCTTCTGTGAGTAACTTGATAAATAGAATTTAAAAAGGTGTGTTAAAAATGTGATGAATAAAATTTAAATGTATTCTAACTTGGAATTACACACTTCTTCTAAAGGGATTTCATTATTTTAATGATTAGAGTTATGAACACTTACAGCTGAACAACCTATCAGCTGCAAGGGATTCTGCTCCTGTAAGTGCTCTCATCGCTGATTGGCCACTGTGTGTGTTGAAGAGGTTTCTGCTTGCTGTAAATGAGCACTAGAACATTAATTTAAGCACCAATATTCACTGATAAAAGGTGAATATCTCAAACGGTTCAAATATAAGGCATACCTACACAAATCTGCTCTATCAGACTGCTATCTCAGTTTAAAATCCCATGTTAAAGGTGAACTATTTCCTCGACAGGACCAGCTCGACTCCTGCAGTAGGAGTCCAGCCTCGTCCAGTCGTCGCCGCTCGCCAAGACCAGCCGGACTCCTGCAATAGGGGTCCAGGCTGACCCGTTCGTCCAGTAACCGCCGCTCGTCAGCACCAGCTGGGCTCCTGTAGTAGGGGTCCAGCCTCGTCCAGTCGCCGCCGCTCGCCAAGACCAGCTGGGCTCCTGTAGTATGGGGCTAGGATGGCCCGTTCATCAACCGGTCCTGAAGTCACATCGCCGTCAGCCAGCCGAACTCAGTACATAAGTCACCAACCCTGAATGTTGCCAGCCAAAGTCGGCAGTTTCCTTCGGACAGTCATCTCACCAGTGTTGTACAGTGTACGAGGTTAGTGACGCAGTTAAATGCGTCAATTAAATGCGAGGACGTGCGCTTGTATGCAGCGTTTTGTCATGTTGAGCTGCATGGGTGTCGATTTTCACCGAATTGAGGGTGCCCACTGCCCGGGCGCAGCAAATCCGCCGCTGCCTTAGCGGTGACCTTGACCCGCACCGTCTGTTGGGGCTCCAAAGCCAAGCCAGCCGAGCCGGCGGGGAATCTAAAGAGCTTGAGCACCCCCAACCCGGCGGAAATTGACACCTATGTTGAGCTGTATGGATGCGTTTTAGCCTTCCGCCGTGGTGGTAAATAGCAGCCTACATGCAGAATTAGGCAGGCTTATTAGCGGACTCATTATTGGATTCATTGTGTCACGTTTGTCGGCACGTGTAAGATGTGCTTAACTGCCATTAGCTCTCGGCCTGGCGACTTCTGGGGACCACGTAATGGGGATGACAATTGGGATCCTGTGCCTTAAGCCGGCCATTTACGTCCATGGCTATATACCCCCGTACTAGGGCTAGTTATGACGTATATAGGGATCCACGAGATCTTTTTTGATGAATGTGTTGTGCAGTGTTGAGATCCGCGTGTAACGTCACTGTTTGGCCAGTCTGCCCTCAAACGCGTCATCTTTACTCGTATTTTATTTACTGAACGCTTTGCATGGTCCAGTGGTTTATATAGACATCTTCCTTGCACTAGCTAGTTTTATGTGGCCAGGTTGATTGCCTGTCAGCGCGGTCACGCTGTCGTCTTTCGATTGGTGCGCTTAAATGCGGCGAGATGAATATAGGATTTCCTTTGATGCCATTTAGTACCTGCGCCCAGCTCAACTGGGGAAGGGGGGGGGGGCACTGCCGACTTTTGGTCCCATTCTTTCCATGTAACGCCCATAGAGCCCATTGTTAAAATGCCAAAATCAAAGGGGGGCACGATGCCCCGGTGCCCTCCCCGTTCCGCCGCCTATGCGCGAAAGTACCAACTACCAACAGTTTCCAGTTGTTTGTGTCCCAAAGTTTTTTATGAGTTGGACGATTGGGCTTTTCCCATCGCTCGTTATGCAATTATTTTGTTAAACGCTCTAAAATTGTTTCTCTACAAGTCATTAGAACTTAGAAGCAAATAGATATTGATGGATACGATCTCAAGGGGGCCGATAAGAAGGAAGAGCGCGCGGCGCAATGATTGTGGAGCACAGCACACGATTAATGTGAGGCGCATTTAAGCGAGAAATAACTTCATTGAACAGAAATGAGCAGAGTACCAGCATTGAAACTGCACCAGTACCAGCATTGAAACTAAATATAAGATATCTCAGAAGGTTGCGCTTTTGGGGCCGAGTTGTGGTGCTTTACGCCGTACATCATGCTTAATGAATGTGACCGTCGTGTTTGTGGGATCCCCGTCGGTACTAGTCAGCCCCACGAATCGTGGTAGATCATAAAGATAATCTTCGCCTCCGGTTATGATTTTGAAATATCTACGAAACGGGTGCTGGGTGGTACACAAAGGCAGCTTTTTCAGGTGAGTTGAAAGGGGAAGAGGTTCTTTGAATTACCATTTCGGACCATGGTTCTAAAAAGCGCTAGTTTAAAACTATTGTTATAATTCCTATCGTAAACCATCGGACGCTCGACGCTGCATTGGCATTGGTACGATGTGCCGGTAATCGCTTCGCTCGCCGAGAATGATAGCGTGGCAGGTTTACTGATATGTAGGATTATCAAATAAATGTAATAGAAACGATATTAAATCCACTACCTCTTTAGAAGCTCTTGAAATAAACCTGGCTATCTGGTTGTCGAAGCCAGGCAAATTATATGCTTGGAATGGCTAAATGTCCATTGTCCATGACATCATTAAATTGAATTATTTTCCTTCTTAGCACTTAAAATACATTTCAGCGACACAAAACTCCCAAAAGTCTGATATCTTGCCCGTGGTATCGTGGTACGATCGGCGAGTACCTAAACCTTCCTACGCAATGTCCATGGCTATGCGAAGTCTAAGGTTGGCCTACATAAGCCTTGGGTTGGCCTGTTTATCCTGTTTCATTACGGAGCGAGCGAAGCGAGCGTAGTCTTTCCGGTCTTTCCTTAGATTAACGGAAATTTCTGAGTATGAGCGGCCGGCCGGCCGGCCGGCCGGCCGGCCGGCCGTGGTCACGCTTTTGCGAGGCTTATATCTCAGCAACCACTTGACCGATTTACACGCGGTAATTTTTGTAGGGTAGCTTCATTCCTTCTACCAAGTATTGGACTATTCCCGATGCATGTGGGTGACCCCTTATGCACGTGCCACGTGCAAAACGAAGAGGTGTCACTTTTGTAATTGTTGCAATATTTCGGTAACTACTTGGCCGATTGCGCTGAAAGTTGGCATGTAGGTAGGCACCTACTAGGCACTGCATATACATGTGCCAGAGTTGGGGTGCTGCTGCACGTGCGCACGTGCAGGGGTCGTTTCCAGATCTCGAGAACGGCTGGACCGATTGCGCTCAAATTTGGTACACGGTTAGGGACCGGTTAGTAGGGTGCCGTGCACAAGTCAGTTGGGACCCATTTTGCACGTGCGCACGTGCAGGGTGCCGCTTCCAGATCTCGAGAACGGCTGGGCCGATTGTGCCCAAATTTGGCACATCGCTAGAGACCAGTTAGTAGGGTGCCGTGCACAAGTCAGTTGGAGGTACCCCCTCGCAATTTCGCACGTGCAAGGCCCACCCTCTCGCTCGCTCCGTTAGTCGCCCCAAAAGGCGCTATACTGGTATCGTATCTATGATAATAAAGTGTTCACGATCGCATAGCCAAACTGAGAACAAAATATTTATTTGCAAAACTCCAGCAATACCCCTCGCTTGATACTATAAAAAAATATTGCACACGATCATGCGAAGCCGTGAATCCTACCGCCTTTATTTAGCGCCGGCGTTCCCGCGTTAATAATTTCTCCTGAATCGGAGGACCAATAATCAGCTGACGCACCGTTGTTTTGATGTCGGCGGACCGTGCCCGGCCCCCGCCGAAGTTAGTTGGTAGCACTGCTGCTCCACGGCGTACATTTCCTACCAGCCCATAGGGTTTACGTGTTAAATGGCCTGTTTTCGGCGAGCGATATCTCGGTCAACCTTTGAAGGAATCAATGGTTCTTAGTCTCAAATGATAGATCGATGAATTTTCTTTCGACAATTCCTCTACCATTTTTCACGAAACCCAGCCGATCTTCTACGGCGTACAGGGTAAAGATTTCTCTGCACGCCAGCACCCGCGATCCGCCTCTCCGATCGTCGGCGCGCGGTCCTCGGTAGCGCAGTCGGTAGCGTATCGGGCTACGGATCCGAGGGTCGTGAGTTCGAATCCTGGGAGTGCCGCGTGATTTTGGCTATAATTGAATGATGTAGATTCTTGAATGTTTGCATTATCAATTATTAATAGCTAATTGAATGTATCTGCCCACTAATCGGCCCCTAAAACCTGTTATTTAAGAAATTTAAGAAATGAATGTCACGTGTGCGTCACGACTGCCAACCATAAGCGCTACCATATTCTAGTTTGAACTAACTTTTTGCTAGTCCCGACCACATATAGTAGGTTTTCTAGTAGTTATACTAGAAATTCCTACCAAAGTTCGTCCTACCCTTCACTCAATATACCCTGGACCGTGCCAGCCTGGGGGGGGGCCTTGCGTGATGGTAATGGCGCGGGTTCGTGTGCTCTGAGGGAGTCGTTTTTGCATCGATTTTTCTTGTGAGTAAGATTTTGCAGGAAACTTGGTGTAAATATAAAGAGTAAGTGTTTTATAAGATGGCGTGACACTAATCAAATTGAATTAACTACAATGAAAACGCTAGGTTACGATGGCCTCTCCGACCGATGGGACTTTTTCTTCTGTAAATATAGTTTTTTAACTTTTGAATAGATTATCTTATATGAGGGATAGCTCATTATCTTATATGAGCTACGTTCTTCCGTCTTTTCTCCAACATGTTTATCAATGTTATATAGGACCCACCCCTGACCCCATTCACATTGCCCAGTTATATCAATTTCTGACTGCTATATATACTCTGCATCTAAGCCGTAAGTTTTGTACTCAGACGCTAAGAAAAAAAGATTTCCTACAATCAGCTAGCTATTCAATAAATGGATTGGTGTTTTGAAAGAAAATTGTTAGATGATTTAATTTAATTGCAATAAACGAAGATATTTAATCTTAGAATAATAACTTAACCACAATTAGAAAAAAACATTCACAAAATTAAAAAAAAATCACATTTTTAAACCATGATACTACTTACATTTTTGGCGCGTCCGTTTCAATCCTTATCCGCCACATTTGCCAATCACTGTTCAACCTTGCGTTGTAACTCTTCGATTTAGAGCCACCAGTTAATTATGCACTGCGTGAGTGCAGTGTCCCAAAACTATATTTGCTTGGGTGTCAGAGGGGAAAATTGCTGACCAAAGAAAGCATGAGAGTGAAAAATTGTTAGTTATATATAAAAAAGGTAGGGTATGGATAACACACAATTGTCTGTTAGGTAAGGCTCAAAAAGAGTGGGAAAATGATCAAAAACATTAATCTATCTACAATTGTGACAGATGCAAAACAACCATTCACGCAATTGCTCCTTCTCAGTGGAATTGGGAGCGGAAAATTGGGCTTGAAAACTGGAGGTGAGAATAGAAATGATTTTCATTTGGATGTCGTTTCCCACCCACATCTACAAATTTTGGGACACTGATTGCAGGCAATGGCAAGTCAATTTTTTATGTTAATCTGTTGTGTATCAGGCTTCAAGCATTTGACTTAGATACCATTGCTTGCAATCTATTCATGAGAGTACCTTTTTCCTTTTTCACCAGTAAGCAAAAATCAGGTTAGGTAAGGTAAGGCTAGGTACCTTAGGTCAGGTCAGGTTAGGTAGGTTAGGTCAGGTCAGGTTAGGTAAGGTTAGGCTAGCTTAGCTTCTGACAATTTTCATGTTCTCTTTCCCATATCAGTTGGGGAAACTACGAGGAGCCAAACAAAAATTGGATTAGCCAATCAACGGCTGGAGTGGGCGGGGCGATGGCCATATATGGTCATAAAATCAGACAACTTCATCTTTTCAATTAATCCTAGCATTCAAATGAAAAAATAAGGCATAAGAATGTTTTTTAACCACACAAAGCCTACACTCACGTGTACAGGTGCGTCCTGTGTGGTCTGACGGTCGCTCTGCACAGGTGTGTCCTGTGTGGTCTGACGGCCGTTTTGTACAGGTGCGTCCTGTGTGGTCTGATGGCCGCTCTGTACACTGTGTACAGGTGTGTCCTGTGTGGTCTGACGGCCGCTTTACATATACACTGTGTACAGGTGTGTCCTGTGTGGTCTGGCGGCCGCTCTGTACACTGTGTACAGGTGCGTCCTGTGTGATTTGACGGCCGCTCTGTACAGGTGTGTCCTGTGTGGTCTGACGGCCGCTCTGTACACTGTGTACAGGTGCGTCCTGTGTGGTCTGACGGCCGATCTGTACACTGTGTACAGGTGCGTCCTGTGTGATTTGACGGCCGCTCTATACACTGTGTACAGGTGTGTCCTGTGTGATTTGACGGCCGCTCTGTACAGGTGTGTCCTGTGTGGTCTGACGGCCGCTCTGTACACTGTGTACAGGTGCGTCCTGTGTGGTCTGACGGCCGATCTGTACACTGTGTACAGGTGCGTCCTGTGTGGTCTGACGGTCGCTCTGTACACTGTGTACAGGTGTGTCCTGTGTGTGGTCTGACGGCCGCTCTGTACACTGTGTACAGGTGCGTCCTGTGTGATTTGACGGCCGCTCTGTACAGGTGTGTCCTGTGTGGTCTGACGGCCGCTCTGTACACTGTGTACAGGTGCGTCCTGTGTGGTCTGACGGCCGATCTGTACACTGTGTACAGGTGTGTCCTGTGTGATTTGACGGCCGCTCTATACATTGTGTACAGGTGTGTCCTGTGTGGTCTGACGGCCGCTCTGTGCTTTGTACAGGTGCGTCCTGTGTGGTCTGACGGCCGCTCTGTACACTGTGTAGTGTACAGGTGCGTCCTGTGTGGTCTGACGGCCGATCTGTACACTGTGTACAGGTGTGTCCTGTGTGGTCTGACGGCCGCTCTGTGCTTTGTACAGGTGTGTCCTGTGTGTGGTCTGACGGCCGCTCTGTACACTGTATACAGGTGCGTCCTGTGTGATCTGACGGCCGCTCTGTACAGGTGTGTCCTGTGCGTGGTCTGACGGCCGCTCTATACACTGTGTACAGGTGTGTCCTGTGTTATCTGACGGCCGCTCTGTACAGGCGTGTCCTGTGTGGTCTGACGGCCGCTCTGTACACTGTGTACAGGTGTGTCCTGTGTGGTCTGACGGCCGCTCTGTACAGGTGTGTCCTGTGTGGTCTGACGGCCGCTCTGTACACGGTGTACAGGTGTGTCCTGTGTGGTCTGACGGCCGCTCTGTGCTTTGTACAGGTGTGTCCTGTGTGTGGTCTGACGGCCGCTCTGTACACTGTGTACAGGTGTGTCCTGTGTGGTCTGACGGCCGCTCTGTACACTGTGTACAGGTGTGTCCTGTGTGTGGTCTGACGGCCGCTCTGTGCTTTGTACAGGTGTGTCCTGTGTGATTTGACGGCCGCTCTGTACAGGTGTGTCCTGTGTGGTCTGACGGTCGCTCTGTACACTGTGTACAGGTGCGTCCTGTGTGGTCTGACGGCCGCTCTGTACAGGTGTGTCCTGTGTGGTCTGACGGCCGCTCTGTACAGGTGTGTCCTGTGTGTGATCTGACCCCCCGTCCCCCGCCGGCAGCGGAGCGATGGGCGACCGGTACAACATCCACAGTCAGCTGGAGCACCTGCAGTCCAAGTACATCGGCACCGGGCACGCCGACACCACCATGTACGAGTGGCTGACCAACCAGCACCGAGACTCCTTCGCCTCCTACATGGGACACTTTGACATGCTCAACTACTTCGCGCTCTGCGAGAACGAGGCCAAGGCGCGGATCCGCTTCAACCTGATGGAGCGGATGCTGCAGCCGTGCGGACAGCCGCCAGAGAAGCCCGAGGAGTGAGCGCCGCCGGGCTCCGCCGCCGGTGCGGATTCTGTGCCGAGATCTCGCGATGGGAAGTTGCTCGACAGGCCTCTCGTGGTTGATCTGTGTCGGCGTGGTTGTATTTGCCGCGGACTTTTGGTGAAAGGAATAACACGATGGGTGGATGTTCACGCTCATTTGATGGCCCTGCTATTGCCCTGTTTGCGCGCACATATTGTCCTGAACGCCTCATGTGTAGTGAATGCTGAATATACGGTGTTCACATTTACTTCGTATATTGTACTTATAACATTGGCGCGAGTCAGCCTCGCTCGCCGTGCCATTTGACTAGACGCTGGGCGCGTGCCCGGTACACGCACACACACACACACACACGCACACGCGCACCGACGCATACAGAGTAGGTGGTCGGCCGGTGCGCCGGGCGCTATCACACCGTATTGCATGCTGGGCGGGGCGCCGCCGCCCGGCCCCGCTCCCAGTTTGTGCCCGGCGTCGAGCAGCCATCGGCGGCCGCAGCCCGCACCGAGTGACCGCCGACCGGCCAGCACATTCAGAAAATGAACGATGAAACGTGTTGGAAATGTCCGAGTGATGGCTCGACGCGCGCTACCGGTAACAATTGCGGGTCCTATCTACACAGCACTGCGCGGCCCGGCCAAATATACAGCGTTCAGATTCCCCGGCCGCTGAATGTCCGCGCTGGGCCCCTGCCGGCCGGTCGTTTCCCTGGCCGTGTGCCTTACAGACTCCACCACCGGCGCTCCAGCGACTAACGTGAGACCGAGATAAACACGGGGACCGCGGCTCAGCGCGGCGCCGCCGGCTCCGCGGGCGGCTCAGCGCGGCGCCGCCGTCCCCCCGCGGGCGGCTCAGCGCGGCGCCGCCGGCTCCGCGGCCGCCGGCTCGCTGTGCCGCTCCGGCGGCGTTTTGACGCGCTCCGGCGCCGGCCCGGCCACACACCGCTTGTGGTGGTTCTCCCAGTCCTTGTGCTGGCAGAAGGAGCCGCAGTAGCGCGCCGAGTTGCAGCCGCTGCACGTCTCGGTGGCCTTCCGACCGCAGTTCCAGCAGTTCTGCCGGGGGGGCGGGGGGGGGGGGTAAGCCGTCAGACCGGGGTACAGGCCGCGGTTCCAGCAGTTCTACCGGGGGGGGGGGGAGCCGTCAGACCGGGGTACAGGCCGCGGTTCCAGCAGTTCTTCGGACCGCCCTGCCTACCTCGGAGCATCTCCCTGCCTACCCCGGAGGCTCGTCCTGGTCCTGCCTACCTCGGAGGCTCGCCCTGCCTACCTCGGAGCATCGCCCTGCCTACCTCGGAGCATCGCCCTGCCTACCTCGGAGCCTCGCCCTGCCTACCTCGGAGCCGTCGCTCTGTTTGCCGGCGGCGGCTCGCCCTGCCTACCTCGGAGCCGTCGCTCTGTTTGCCGGCGGCGGCTCGTCCTGCCTACCTCGGAGCCGTCGCTCTGTTTGCCGGCGGCGGCTCGCCCTGCCTACCTCAGAGCCGTCGCTCTGTTTGCCGGCGGCGGCCAGCGCCTCCTCGGCTCCCAGTTTGCGCGCCTCGGCCAGCAGCGCCTCGATACGACACCGCTCGGCCGAGACGATCTCGGAGGCGCGCGCCTCGGCCACCGTGACGGCCTTCTGCAGCTCCGACACCGCCTGGCGCTTCACCTCGTTCACGGCGTCCTCTGTGGCCGCCAGAGGGGCCCGTCAGAGCGGTGGGTCAGCGCGGTCAGAGGGGTGGGTCAGCGCGGTCAGAGCGGTGGTCAGCGCGGTCAGAGGGGCGGGTCAGCGCGGTCAGAGCGGTGGTCAGCGCGGTCAGAGGGGCTGGTCAGCGCGGTCAGAGGGGTCAGCGCGGCCAGAGGGGTCAGCGCGGGACGGTAGGGTCTCAGCAGAGGGTCTGACTAGTCGGACAGCTTTTAAATAGCCGCGATCCACGGTAAAATTCGGATATCGTCTACACTTTTGGTGGATTTTGCGTAGGGGAGAGTGGGGAAAGATGCCCAGGGTTTTACTATGTCATATATTATTCGAAAATGACGATGGGAAAGCCAAAACTTGGAGTTTCAACGGAAGCCGACATCATTTTTCTCCAAAAATATCACACTTTCGTGCCTGAAATATTATTACTTTTTTTGCTATTAAGCATTTTCCTGAAGAAGTGAAAGGGGGCATCTTACCCCACAGGGTGGGAAAGACGCCCCCTGACGTTGGGAAAGATGCCCCCTGCACTATAAGTGACATAAATGGGCACGTGAATCGCCTGAACGAATCAGTAGTCCCTTCGAGCCTGCAGTAGACACCAAACGTCATCATGAGGGCCCTCAATAGTAGTCGTAAGGGGCTTCAGAGGTCATCGTTAGGGCCATCATAGTCCAGCGCGGCCAAACAAGCCTCCGTGGTGGCGTTCGGAGGCCACTGTGGGGCTCTTATAGGTCTTCATGATGCTTGAGGGCCCTCGAGCCCATCGTGGGGACCTCCGATGCCAGTGCGGCCCGTGGGGCCAACGTGGGAGCCCTCAAAGGATTCGTGAGGGGCCCTGGAGCCAATAATTGGGCCCACAGAGGCCGTCGTGAGGGCTCTCAGAGTCAGATGCCACCCAAAAAGTCGCTATGTGGGCCGAGAGACCGGCATGGGGACAGGGGCGGATCCAAGGGGGGGTCACATGGGTCATGGCCCCCCCTTGAGGCCCGGGGGCCCAAAGACCTTCCAGGGGCACCACCGGCCTATCAGGGGTATCACAGTCCTGACAGGGGCACCACAGGACCGCCAGAGGCACCACAGGCCTAGCAGGGACACCACGGGCCTGGTGCCCCTGGGCCCTGACAGGACTGTAACGCCCCTGACAAGCCTGAAGTGTCCCCGGCAGGCACGTGGTGCCCCTGACAGGCCTGAGGCGCCCCTGCAAGGCCGGTGGTGCCATTGGCAGGCCTGTGGTGTCCATGGCAGGCCTGTGGTGCCCTTGCTAGGCCTCTGGTGCCCCTGACAGGCTTGTAATGCCCCTGGAAGGACTGTGGTGCCCCTGGGCCCTGACAAGCCTGAGGTGCCCCTGACAGGCCAGAGGTGCCCTTGCTAGGCCTGTGGTGCCCCTGGCAGGCCTCTGGTGCCCCTGACAGGCTTGCGGTGCCCTTGGAAGGACTGTGGTGTCCCTGGGCCCTGACAAGCCTGAGGTGCCCCTGACAGGCCCGTGGTGCCCTTGTTAGGCCTGTGGTGCCCCTGGCAGGCCTCTGGTGCCCTTGCTAGGCCGCTGGTGCCCCTGGCAGGCCTCTGGTGCCCTTGCTAGGCCGCTGGTGCCCCTGGCAGGCCTCTGGTGCCCCTGCGCCCGGAGAGGACTGGTGCCCCTGAAAAGTCTGAAGTGCCCCTCGGCAGGCCCGTCGTGCCCCTGACAGGCCCAAGGTGCCCCTGCGAGGCCGGTGGTGCCCCTGGCAGGCCTCTGGTGCCCCTGGCAGGTCTGTGGTGCCCCTGGCAGGTCTGTGGCGCCCCTGGCAGACCTGTGTTGACTGGTGCCCCTGCTAGGTCGCTGGTGCCCCTCACAGACCTGTGGTGCCCCTGGGCCTTGACAAGCCTGAGATGCCTGGCTATGACAGGCTCGTGGTGCCCCTGATAGACCAGTGGTGCCCTTGCTAGGCCTGTAGTGCCCCTGGCAGGCCTCTGGTGCCCCTGCTACCCCTGCGCCCTGAGAGGACTATGGTGCCCCTGAAAAGCCTGAAGTGCCTCTCGACAGGCCCGTGGTGCCCCTGGGCCCTGACAGGCCCAAGTTACCCCTGCGAGGTCGGTGGTGCCCCTGGCAGGCCTCTGGTGCCCCTGGCAGGTCTGTGGTGCCCCTGGCAGGTCTGTGGCGCCCCTGGCAGACCTGTGTTGACTGGTGCCCCTGCTAGGCCGCTGGTGCCCCTCACAGGCCTGCGGTGCCCCTGGAAGGACTGTGGTGCCCCTGCCCCTAGGGGTGCTCATGGGCCCAACAGGCCCGTTGTGCCCCTGACAGGCCTGTCGTGTATACTTGCTAGACCTGTGGTGCCCCTGCTTCCTGGCAGGCCTGTGGTGCCCCTGGCGGGCCTGTGGCGCCCCTACAAGGCCGTAGGTGCCCCTGACAGGTTTGTGGTGTCCCTGGAAGGACTTTGGTGCCCCTGACAAGCCTGAAGTGTCAAGGAAAGGACAGACCCTTTAGACGCCAGGGTCAAGTTCGTCGAACTGACAACGATTTGCTTACCTGATAACGTTCCTGGTAAGTACTCATTACTCAGCGTCCACACTCCACAACATATATACACATAGCACATTCATATATACTTGCTTACAATTGGTAAATGTGGTTGTGGCTAAGAGGTAAGATACCGACTAAAAATAAAAAAAATAAAAATAAAAACTGAAAATGGGGGCACCACCAAAATGAAGTGGACGAAATCCGTTGAGTTTTTAATTTTGGGTATAGGTAGGGGCACCACTTCGATTCATGACCCTCCCCTTGGAGTTTTCCTGGATCCGCCCCTGCATGGGGAGCACCCGACCGTACTGGACTCTCAATAGTCCCAGATCGGCTTTTGTCTACATCACAAGTATGTAATAAATGATTTGACGGGCTGTTTGAAGGACAGCCTACGGATTTAGGGGGGCGTCTTTCCCCATCAGGACAGGGGGCATCTTACCCCAAGGTACCGAAGTAACATTAAATCAGTACAATTTGTTAGCCATAAAACTACACCATGAAACAAACTGTTTGGGACACAGTACACGCATGCTAATGTATCACGACTATAGCAAGGGACCATGGGTGAAACTTTGACATCACCATTGGGGTCCCAAACGTCCAAGGGGGCCTCCATTTAGTGGGGGCCTCCAAGCAATTAGGGGCCTCCAATTGCGGAAGCGGTAATTTACGAGCCACGCCAGGGCCTCCTCTAAGAAATTTTCATTGGGGGACCAGAGGCTCAGAAGCCAAACATGGGGTACCCCCAAATCCAGTTTTCTCGTCGGATTTAGGCCACTTATTTTTCGTCACAGCTCTGATGCCATGATTTTTTTTTTAAATATCGATAAAGAAATGGTAGGTCACCTGACCCTACTGGTGGATCCAGGCCAGCAGGGTGACATTGTATGTAAATATCCCCCGCGGCATCCGAAATCGACGAAAATTTCTGGCTTTTTCACTTTTGACAATAAAACACAATGCCTTTATAATAGAAAAAAAAATTAACGGCACAGCATTGCGCAAGGAATCTAGCCGTAAGCCGACCCCAGAAAGTGTGAGGGTTAACCTTCGCCGGCACCTGGGGGGAGGGTCGCCACCCCCAAGTTAGTTTTTCTGCTCTACACTTAACATTTTTAAAGCTAGAAACCTGATTTTCTTTGTATAGCTGCTTTTCTATCTTTTCTCAGCGTCCATTGAAAATTTCAAGCTTCTGCGGCATTTGGGTTTGGAGATATGACCTTGTTCTTCAGGTCATGTCATGTCCTAAATGACGAATACCCAATATCTTGCGATGGCTATGGGCCTTGTGAGCTTTTGACACGCAGATTTCGGCTTTTTTTTGCCAGTCTTACCTCCCACCTATCATTGAACATGTTGTTCTGCGATGTACAGATGTCAGAGCATGGGTGTAACTTTGTATACTTTCGAGGTCCCATGTGGGACCCCAATGCGAACATTTGGGACCCCAATTGTCATTTTGGGACCCCAATAGTGGAGGCCCCCGAGACGCATCAGCTACTTTGCAAACGGAGGTCCGATATTCATATAAAAGGTTCTCTGTTTAAATAGGAGGCCCCTTGGACAAATCGGAGGCCCTGTTGGACAAATAGGAGGCCCCCTGAACAAGTAGGAGGCCCCCTGAACAAGGAGGCCCCCTGAACAAGTAGGAGGCCCCCTGAACAAGTAGGAGGCCCCCGGAAAACAGGAAGTCCCCTGGAGAAATAGGAGGCTCTCTGGACAAGTAGGAGGCCTCCTGGACAAATAAGAGGCCCTAGACAAATAAGAGGCCCCTAGACAAATAGTAAGCCCCATGGACAAGTAGGAGGCCCTCTGTACAAATAGGAGGCCCCCCTGCAAAAATAGGAGGCCCCCTGGACAAATAGGAGGTCCTAGACCTAGACAAACAGGAGGCCCCTTTCACAAAAGGAGGCCCCTGGACAAATAGGAGGCCCCATGGACAAGTAGGAGGCCCTCTGTACAAATAGGAGGCCCCTGCAAAAATAGGAGGCCCCCTGGACAAATAGAAGGTCCTAGACCTAGACAAAAAGGAGGCCCCTTTCACAAAAGGAGGCCCCCTGGACAAATAGGAGGCCCCTTTCACAAAAGGAGGCCCCTGGACAATTAAGAGGCCCCCTGAACAAGGAGGCCCCCTGGATAAAGAGGAGGCCCCCTAAAAATAGGAGCCCTCTGGATAAATAGGAGGCCGCTTGGAAAATAAGAGGCTACTTTAACCAATAGGAGGCCCCTTGGACAAATAGGAGGCCCCCTGAACATGTAGGAGGCACGCTGGACAAATAGGAGGCCTCTTGGGCAAAGAGGCCCCCTAGAAAAATAACAAGTCCCTTGGACAAATAGGAGGCCCCCTGGACAAATAGGGGACCTCTTGAACAAATAGGAGGCTCCATGGACAAGTAGGAGCTAGAGGCTCTCTGTACGAATAGGAGGCCCCCTGGACAAATAGAAGGCTCCCTTAACAAAAAGGAGTCCCTTAAAAAAAGGAGG